CTTTTGGACTGTAGTGTATTTATTTTCAAAATTGTAGAATTGAGTTAGATATTTTTATTTCAATCAAAACTACTATGAAAACTTAGCAGTTTTTAATGGTGTCTTTATTTTTGGGAGGCAAATTGAAGCTTTTGTATTTAAAGCTTTGTTTTGGATTTGTTTTTTGCCAAAGTGTGTCTTGTTAATTTCTGGATAAAGTTCATAAAAATGCCCAAATGCATTGGTTGTTTGCTCATGTTTCTTTGTGCTGTTTTCATTCTGACATTCCTAAAAGCAGTTTGGATGTTTTCTGTCTTTAGAATCTCACATGAAATGATAACAGAATCGGTGAATTCAGTGATGATAGTCTTTGACTTTGATTTAGCATAAAATCTCAAAATTAAATTGAAAAGATTTCTTAATTAAGTTATAAAACTTAGTTTAGAAATTGCTGCACACACTCAATACACAATATGACGGTTTGATATTTTGACTGGTCAGAAGAAATTTGCAAATTTTGGGTTGATTTTTACTTTGCTGCTTTTTCCCCCCCTTTTTTTTCATGTACAGAACTTCTCTTTTTCTGCTTCCTTTATACTTAATTGGACTTTTAACATTGTAGAACATTTCTTTTGATTATAGCATCACTTTCTTAAAGGCGCAGTAGTCTCCCCTTATTGGCAGACAACTCTAGAAATAAACAATTCTTAAGTGCCAGAGTAAAGATGCTGGCAATTCAGATATGCCAAAGAGAAATTATCAAGGGTTTTACTTTTAAGTGAAAGTTCTTGATTTAATATGGATAATATTGGATGCTGATGTTAAAATCTAAATTAAGAAGAAATCTTGTCTGCTCTATAACTCTTACTTAAGTAAATTGTTATAATTGTTATATTTTGTTATTAGTTATTTTTGCTAGTCTTGGATTGGGCTTACCTTATAAATAAAACATTATCATAAGAATGAATAGAAAAAGAAATGCATGTTTTTACTGAAAAAAAAAAAGTTTTAAGTGTTCATTTTAGAACACTTAAATTTTTTTATGTAGTTTCTGTTGTTTTTGGACAAATAAACAGATGGTTCAAGGCTATGCTTTGTGGAAAAACAAGAAACTATATTAAAAAAACTTTCTTTTTAAATTTCTGTGAGTTATTTGAATGTCCTCACTTTGCTATCATCATGTTTCAACTGTTGTGCTCTCTAAACATCTTCAGGTGACTGATCTGGGTAACCTTCATGGAATTTCAAAATGAACCCTTCATTTAATCTAGGAGAATATATTATTCATGTCTTGGGATATCTTTTTCTATTTCATTTTTTTTTTTTAAAGTACTGTCCAGTTATTACTAATCCTGTTTTCACTGAGTTTGTACTATCCAGCCCAGTCAATTACTATGGAGAATAAAGCATTGGTTCATGAATTTATGAGTTCAATTTGAATCCCTGGGCTGGGTTGTACAGACTGATTCAAAATAGATTTATCTTACCCTTGATATGTTTGTTTTTATATATATATATATATATATATATATATATATATATATATATATATATATAAAGTTGAGATACAGGTTCAAAACCTGGAAGTTAACGAAAATGGGTTAGTCTTTTTAAAGCACAAAAACCAGTTGAAAAAGTAATAAGAATAATCAAAAGAGGTCAGGATAGATTAGAGAACAGACCAAGATCAGAAATATCATGGAATTAAGCAACAGAAATAGAGGTTCTGTATGGGTATATAAGAAGAAAAGATAACAGATGGAGTGAAAGGTTGCTCGATTTGATACCCAATGGATATATTTTAAGAAAAGATAAAGATAGAAAATGGAGATATGAGATAGAGGGCTTTATAAGTAAGACATGGCAGTCATGGAAGGAAATGGGGGGGAAAGGTCTTTGTCAAACAGTAGACTCTCTGTCTTCTATTGCTGCTTGACACCTGAGTTACATTGAAGGTTTATGAATATTGTCATATGACGAATTTGTATAAACTGCATGGTGGAATGGCTGTTTAATTTGGTCATCAGAGGTCTCGTTCTTTCATTCCAAGCCCTTCTAGGACAACTGTACTCTTTTGTGGCATTAATGTTTCAGCTGATCCATTCTACTGGCTTCTTAAGATCAATAATCAAGAAGAAAGAGAAAGGTCTCCCCACCCCCTCTTGTACTCTTTTTCCTTTTAGATATAGTATCAACCCATTCATTGCCAGCAGAAATTTGTCATTTGTAATTGTGTTATAGGAGTGCAGTGAAAGTAATTCTCGTTAACTGCAGTTACTAATTTTAGCATTTATCTGCTTTTTTTTTTTTTTTGCTTTTTTTTTTCTTTCTTTTTCTTCCACAAATTCTTTTATATACCAAATCCTTTCATGGTGTAGACAATCTTGGGTTTATTTTTACTATCCATTTTTGTCTTTGTTCTGTCACCTCTTCGCACACAATCATTAAGTAGCTTCCTTGCTGTTTTTCCCTGTTTCTCTTGCTATCAGTATGTCTTATGAGTGTTAAATTCTCTCAGTCTTCTTTCCTCATTATATATCTCTGATTTTTCTTTTTTTTTTTTCCCCCTGGAAATATTCAGTTTTGAATAAATATTCATTGGTGTTTTACTTGTTTTGTTTTATTTTGAATAATTATAAATTAAACCATGTAGATTTGTTCTGAATTTTAGTGTTAAATTAAAGCTTCTAACCTGTGACCTTTTTAAAGTGTGTTTTGTAAATTTATTGATAATTGAGCTTCAACTATGATTATTGACCATAGAATTTATTTTATCCCAGCTATGCATACAATTTGCTATCTTTAGAAATCAGTCTAGGTAGAGAACAGTTATGAATTCAAAGCTCCCTGTCAACATGTCATTTGGTCAGTATGGTAAGATAATCCCATCAGCTTATGGGTTAAAATAGTACAGCAGGATGGGCTCTCCTGCCTTAGTTGGTAATTGATCTAGGAGGAGAATTCGGAATTCAAAATTGGAGAAGGCAATATTTTACTGTTTTTCTGAAGAACAATGACAATGCATAGTTATTGAAGAGAAGGAAGCTGTAGAGAGCCATATCCTAAAGTGACGTGGCAGGTGGTGGTTATATGATTTGTGAACCCAACTTAAGCGTTAGGAAATTTGAGATTAAAACTATTTTTATAGTTTTATTAAATGAATAAATCTTATTAAATGCTTAAAGTAATTTCTTTGGGGAATTGGGATTTATTGGGGTCAAAATGATTAATTCAACACTTAGTCATTTGCAATTTTGTATTTATTTTGGCATAGTTTAATCTCCTTATTAGTAACTGTCATATTAGCGTTAACCTTTCATCATTTGGCTTTTATTCTAACAGGATGACATGTCAATCTAAAAAAAAAAAAAAAAATCTGTTTGAATCCCCCCATTAAAAGATTATGAGTTGCTGTTCATTTTTTTTTTTTTTTTTCTTTTAACTGTTTTTTTTTTTTTTTTTAATTTTTTTAAAGCGGTAAAATACTTTTTTTTAAATAATGTAATTGGTAAACAAATACAGTTAGTAACTTATATTGGCTGCTATCCCCGCTTCCCCAGTCGCCAATTTTTTCTATCTTCCAGTCTCTCGAAAGTTTGCCCAACGTAAATATTCAGTTTATTCATAGGAAAGAACTGACATGCAAAAATTGTACTTGTGATGGTTTTCTAAGTGTAGCTTAGATGTGGTACAAGGCTAATGTGGCACCCAGTGAGGATCAAATTTACTATTCACTTGTAATTGATCTAGTGAGACAAGCTTGTAACCATTATACCACGTCATGGTGCTCAAAATGATTTCCTAAGTGTAGCTTAGATGTGGCACAAGGCCGAAAGTAGGGAGCACTCAGTGAGGATTGAACTTTCTACTTGGTTGTAAATCGATTTAGTGAGACTAGCTTGCTAACCATTACACTATGTCAAAGTGCCGAAAGAATTGTACTTGTGTTAGTCAATCCAAAAATGGACTATAAAATTATTTCAGGTTCACTGTTAACAGTGATTTGAAAACTCTGTAGACAATGGCAAATATATTATGCTCATTTGATATTAGAAACTTCCAGCCCCTATAGGGAAAATGAGGATGAGTCATGAATTTGAAATCAGTTTCCAGTGCCAAGATGTCACTTTTACCCATTTTATTTGACAAATGGAAAATTATTTTATATTTTATTTTATAGACATCATGGATCTTATGTTTTCTACTGTGTGATTGAGATTCTTTTGGTATACATTTCATAATGTCTATGATCTGGGGGGTGGGGAATAGTTGTTATAAATGTTTTTTCCTTTATTTTATTTTTATTTTTATTTTTTTTGTATTATGAATATAATCACCTTGTCACAGTTTTTTTTTTTTTTTTCATTGCATTGGATGTTTGCCAAAACAAGGGAGATAACTCTTTTCTGTTGATGCTTGCTTTTGTACTGAGCATGTGCTTGACGTTAATATTGTTAGTTTTTTTGTTTGTTTTATGCCATTAACATTTCAATAAAAAAATTTTTTTGTTTTAATCTTTGCAACAAATTTTCGTTTATCAATGAATTTTTCAGAGTATTAAAACTTTATTTTTTTTTTTACAGGTAAATGTTTGTATGAAATAACTGTAATATCCGAGAGAGTGAATCTGATAGGAGTTAGTTCTTTTTGAAGACACAGGCCATGATAAATGGCTGTAAAAAATTTAGGTTGTTAGTTGCTTTTATTTTTCAAATCAAGTTTACCTTTTTATAGGTGAGTCATTGTTAATAAAGCTCACCTGAAACTTGGTCAATGTAAATTTTAAAAACTCTAGTATTAAATCTCCATTATTATATTTTGGTGTGTCCTTAAAATATAGCTTTAAATACCTCTGTCTACAAAACACAGCCCTTTGATCTGTCATTTGAAAATGAAGTAATTATTGATCGAATTAATGAGTGCAAATATTGATGTTGATTCTTTAAAAATTTATCTGTTTATAAAGGTGAGAGTTTATTAATGTCTTTCATTTCTAATTAATTTTTGATTCTGTTTATTAGGACAGAGTTCCATTTGCCATAGTTGGCAGTAATACTGTTGTCGACAACAATGGAAAAAGGATTCGTGGAAGACAGTATCCCTGGGGAATCGTTGAAGGTAGGGACCTTTTTAACTTTCTTAAAAATGTTTTGTTTTGTTTATTTTTGTTATTTTGTTTTTCAGTTTTTCTTTTTTTTCTGGTTTTGTTTAAATTTACATGCAAAATTACATATTTATTTAAATTTCCTGTTTCATAAGTAATTTATCAGAATCTTAACATTTTTCTTTTCTTTTTCTTTTTTTTTTATTTGCATGAGTCTACTTGTCTCTTCATATATTTTACTTATTAAAAAAAATCAATCTTTTTTTTTTTTTAAATCTATGAGGAGGCACTGAAATGTTTTTGGCCTGGCCCACTTCTCAGCATCTGACTAAGTGACCAACTTTTTTTTTCTTCTTTCTTTTTGGTCAGCCCCCAAAACGTTTCACCACCCACTCATACATTCTTGTATCTGTCACCACATAACGTTCAAACCACATGGGGCCAGCAGGGAGGTTTTTTTTTTTTTTTTTTTTTTAAATCAAATTCATTCCATGCAAAGCCACAGTGTGCGAAAGAATTAGGTAACTGAAACATTATTAAGGAGCAAGAACAATAGAAGAGTAATCAGGAAGACAGATGACAATTGACATTGTATTTAAATTTTTGAAGATCAAAATTGGCTGGAAAATATGGTGCAGGAAGAGTTCTGCAAGTCAGATTTATTTATTTATTTTTGCAGTTCATAAGCAATCCATTTTCCTTTTTATGTTTTTGAACATGATGAAAAAAACACAAATTTTGAGAATGTGTAGTAGTTCAGTTGGTGGTGATAGTCAGAACACTGAAGGACAAATCAGGGCCAATGAAGCCAAAAGGATCTTGTATAAAAGGTTTCTGGTGTTGAGTTTATTATCTAAGTTTATTCTGGCCATGTTTAGCATCACTTTTCCCAAAGTGTTTTTTATTCATGATGAAATTTAGAAAAAAAAAATGTACATATTTCACTGAAGAAACTTAACGAGGCTTGTTGATTTTGACAGCAACAACTGAATACCAGCCAGCTACGACATCAGTTCATTAACTTGAGTCAATGAGTCAACCTGTGTTATGGTTTTCAGGTACTTTCTAATGTTACCATAAAGGTCTTTCCATCAAGAAGTATTATAACTGTATTATTTATGCACAGATTGGCACTTACTTCTGCCCAAGATCAAAGTGTATTATCTGTGTATTCAGCTCCACAGAAGTGTTATATACATACACGTTGTTGTTTTTCCACAAGGGGGTGCTGAAAAAGTTTTGTACTAATCCACTTCCAAAAACTTTGATCAAGCATTAAAAATTGGAAAAGGGAGAGTCAACTTGGTAAAGCAGAGAACTTTTCAGTATTTCTGTGTGTTCATATGTGTTTGTCTATATATTACTTTTTAGTACAATTAGGCAGCAATTGTTCATCCAAACAAGTTTTATTAAAAGGATAAACATTCTAATTCCATTGAATTTATTCAGTTTTTTCTAAATTGCAAATCACTTTTCGCAAACTTGGCTTTTGCAGATGCCAAAAACTAGCCTAAATCTATTTGAGTCATATGAGTCATCTTCAGGCATGTAAAAATGTAAAGTGAAGGAAAGAAAAGCAAAAGTTTTTTAAGCTGCACATTGTTTTAAAAGTGTCATCATATTTTGTTTGAAATTGAATCCGAAAATAAGAACATTGACAGACATGTCAGAAATGTTTTTTTTTCTTTCTTCTTTTTTCCTTCTTTTTTTTTTTTTTCTTTCAACTTTTTCTTCGTGGACAGTGACTAGCAATTTAGGGAAGACTTCAAATAAATTCAATAAACATAAATTTATCTTTTTTAATATTACATTTTAAATATATGACTTATATTTTGATAATATATGCAGATATTTACAATGATTTTGCTTTGCATATGTTTGAAACCTAATATGTTTAAAACCTTTTGAAAGCACTTTTAGTTCAATTGATCATCTGTGAAAATTCATAAAAACATCCATGTATTTTTGTAAATAGATCATTGAACATTGTTTTAAAAGATAGCTTTATGTAGTTTAGTAAATTTCTTATATTTACTATTTTTATTTTTTTTTTATTTTTACACCGTTTGAGAAAAGTTTTTCGTTTTTATGATTTGATTGGCTCATAGTTAAGGGGGCAAATTCATAGCTAAAATATGGGGGCAAATTGTTTTTGCAGACTATTACTACTGAATAATTTGATACTCACTAGGTACCTTAAACTTAAAGTTGAATTGAGTAAGTAACATTTAGGCATAATGCCTCCTTTTCTTTTTTCTTCCTTTTTTTCTTTTTATATTTCTTTATGAAAGAATTAAATTTGGAATACTGAAGTTATTTTCATCTTTTCCAGTGGAAAATCTTGAACATAATGACTTTATTGCTCTAAGAAACATGCTCATCAGGTGAGTTTATTCCTTTGATAAAAAGAATTTTCATTCTTTTCATAGGCCCCTTTAGTTTCATGTCACATTGTCATCTTTTTATAAAATTGTGTAAGACAAAATTTTGTTTGTGCCACCACCTTACGCAAGAAGAAAAGGGGTTGCATTGTTAATGTGTAAAGAATAATCACCTGCTATATATATATATATATATATATATGGCATTTAAAACATTAGCAGTAATATTTAATTTGTATAACAATTTTTAAAAGCCTATTTTAATAAATTTTTATTTTTTAATTCAAATTATAAAAATTGTCTTATATAGGCAATGTTTCTGCCAATAAACATTTTTAAAAAAAAATTAGTGTATAGAAATGATTTATATCTGCCTTGTTAAAATTTATCAGTTAAAAAACATACTGCAAAAAAACATAAGCATTGTTGTTGTCTATTTCACATTACTACAAATTACCTGAATAGAGATGGAATTATCATCTGAAGTCAAAATAATCTCTTGAAATTATTTGAACAGTTAAAAATATAGTAAGCTTGCTAAATTAATTTAATTTTCTATATAAACATTAGGAAATGATTGACATATTTTTTCTGGTCAGCTGTATGTAACTATCTAGAGTGGCTTTATTATAATGACCAAATATTTTGAGGAAAAATTTTGTTGAAATTTGTCATGTATGCAGACATTTTAAGTCAGTAAGAGAACTACAATTTTTCACTGTTTGCAGGATGGATATTCAGCTAGTAGATAGAAATGCCTTGGTAGATCTCAGCATTAGATCTCAAAGATTTCTGTCTATTTGTTACAAATTGCTTTGTTTAACTGCCATTTGTTTCTTATTTTGGGGCTTTTTTTTTTTTTTTTTTACTGCCCACGTCTTTACACATTTTTTAATCTCTTTTGGGAGAGCCAAGTTTGAATTCCACTTGGGGTTGTTATATTACACGCAAAGGGGGAAAGGTATGAATCCACCTCTTTCCCCCCGAGCTATGGGTTAATTAGTAGAACTTGGATGAGTAAAAATCATTATTATCATCTCCAAAAACTTACAATCTGAACTGGCAAAGGGTTAAACCATAAAAAGATAAAAATAAATCACTGAACTTAATCTCTGTTATTAATGTCTAGGGTCACCTGCCTCCCTCCTTGTGATGCCCCTCCCCATTATCTCAATGCCCTAAATTCCTTCCTTCCTCTACCTCACAACAGGTTTTCTCAATGCTTTTCTCCACCATTTTGTCTTGCTCCAGTCATTTCTTCATTATGCTCTTACAGTTGTAATTACTGAAACAAATTATAAAACCAATTTGTTGTATTAATTGGAATCAAAATCATTTTTAAGGAATTAATGGATTTTATTTAATCTGACATTATTTCTTATTACTTTAAACATTATTTGTGTGGATATGCATGTTTGAGTAGACGTCCTGTTTTTTTAATTTAATTACACCTGCTGGTTTGCACATTCTATCTTGAATGTACAGTCAAGTAGACATAATGCACACTATTTGAAAAAAAAAAAACAGGGCATCTACTCAAATATGTGTATTCACAAAATTAAAACAATACGAATTAACTGCAAACAAACAAAATTACAAGAAAAACAATTTTTAACACTTCAGTTTGATTTTTTAAATTTCAACCAAGTAAAGCAATAATGCTACTAAGCCACAAGGGTTTACTGCAAATGAAAGAAGATTTTAAGAAAAGGAACTGGAAACCCAATCCTAAACAGGAAACAAGGGATAAACCTCTACTCCTGTTCAAAACATGGGGGAAGGTGTGTGAATCAGGTGATAGGCAAACCTATCTACTCCTAATTTAGTTCCATGTTTCTCCCTAGGTTAAAATTTGTCCCTTAATTTTTGAAATCTTTCCTTCTATTTATTGATCCAGTTCTAATAATAGAAGTGTGTGTCCCTTCATATTCTTATCTAATCCAATTAATCTTTTTGTTTTTCATTGAAGAACCCATATGCAAGACCTTAAAGATGTGACCAATAATGTACACTATGAAAATTACCGCTATAGCAAACTTGCACCAGTCACTGCTGATGGCAAAATAAAGGCTTCATCACTCACCAAGTAAGGAACTTTGATTTACCTTGTCTTTGAGATGTTAAGTTTCCAGTTGATTTGTTTAGTTGTTTTAATGTACAGGGTGTGTTTCCTGTTTTTAATTTTCTGTGTATTTTTTTCTTATTTAAAGAGATCCAATGTCTCAGATGCAGGAGGAGAAACGAGAACACGATTCAAAGATGAAGAAGATGGAGGCTGAAATGGAACAAGTTTTCGAAATGAAGGTGAAAGAAAAGAAGACCAAATTGAAGGATTCTGAAGCTGATGTAAGTTAATATTCTGTCACTGATGTGCGACAGAAAACTTATAATCTTGGTGGCATGAGTGGGGGCTTAATTCTCTGTTGATCTTTCAGAAAGGAAAAACTTCTTGGAGAATTTTAAATAATACAATTATTCTAATGCAGCATTTTCTAAACTTTTTTTTTTTTTTTTTTTTTTTTTACTGTGATTCACAAGAACCAAATTTTGCATTTTGATATGTACAAATATATATATTTTTGTTTTTTAATGAAATCAGCCAAGTGGGTACTGTTACTTTCCACATATTATTAAAAGCTTTCAGAAAAGTTATTCATAACTCGATGGGCCATTTCATGTGGAATGGCAGCAATTTATTGACAAATGGCATCTTTTAATTGTTCAGTAGATCGCATGGGTTCAAATCAGGTGATTGAGTGGGCCAACACTCTTTGTGTTGCAGTTACTGATTCCTTATTCTTGATAAATGTTTCCACAATGAAAGCGCAATGCTCGTCCATCCAATTCATGTTGACAACTGAAAATGAAATGAAACAAAATGGCATATGTATGTACACTTAAAAAAAAATCAAACTGCATTTTGTGTTCTTTACTCTATTTCACTTTTATTAAACCTACAAATGTGTCGGATCATTTTGCCACTCCTTGAATGTGTGTGTGTGTGTAGCATATCGCTTATTAGTGCAGAGAGTGATATTAGTGAAGGAAGTTCGAATTATAGCTGTTGTTAAATTTTGCACCTGCATTGTTGAGGAAAGCATGAACCTATTTCTTCTCTCTTGCTTGTTATGGTTTAAATCATAGGGCAGACTGGGCTCTCTAGGCTTGGTTGGTAACCAAGCAAGGAGAAGTACAGTTCTGAATTCACAAATGTGGGCTAGTAACACTCAACTCGGTAAAAACTACTTGTTACTGAAACCACAGTTGCAGTATTTAACATTATGAATCTTTGGCTCTATCCTTCATGGGGGAGTCTACAGGTTCAAAAAGATATGGCTACATTGGTACTAAGTGTTCTTCATATTTGAACTGTTATCAATAATGCTGTCATCTAGATTTTCAGTTCTTTCATCTCCAAGACTGTTCCAAATGTTTTAGTAATGATTTGTATAACTGTCAGCTTCTTGTTCCATTTAGATATTCTTTCCTTCTATTTTTGTTTTGGCAATGTTTAGTTATTTGTCCATTTCTTGCCCCTTGTCAGGTTTACTCTCTTACCCATTGGAACAGTGAAATACCGTTCATCTTAAAACATTTATGCTAACTAGACCTGGCTTTTTGGTCTGGCTGGCTGATCTATTTGAATGTGGAAGTTGCAGAGAATTTTTTTTTTATTCTCTAAATAGGACATATATCCTGGTTCTGTATAGTCTTGCCAGTGGATCACCCTCCTTAACTAGTCTTGCCTATTTTTGCATTTCTTCTGAATTAGTATTATCATTGAGAGAGCAACAGGTCAAAAAAATGATGCTGAGGTACAAATATACAAAATCCAATGTACCCATCATGACAGGCAGACTGATAAGGGCATACCCCAAACACATGAATCACAGCTGTATATGTACAAGATATAGTAAGCAGCACATTATCTTGTAGGTGGTGCCTGGTTAGAAATAGCTTCAAATCAGATAATCCAGTCTGCTCAAACAATTCTCCAATTGAGGATGTTTCCATATATGTAGCTCTGAAGTTAGCTTGGATGATTCATGCTTCAAAGAAGAAAAGAAAGGGGGGGAGTCTACTCTTGACACATGGTCATGATGCTCTCTCAATACTCTTGCCCATGAACAGAAATGCACATTGTATCAACCCCTAGGGGTCATGGCTAACTGGTTAAAGCAATTCTGTCATACTGCACAGAATATTTACTGTAACCCACCTTAATTCCCCAAGAGAAAACAGGTACCTGTTAACACCTCCAATCAATTAAAATCAAAAGCCATACCTGGTGTAGTATTTAGGGTATTTATTATTATTAGCAAATATCTAATTTGTAAACATTCCCACAATTGAGATATATTGAACTGAAAATTACTAATTTAAAAAATAAAAACGTTCAAGTAAACCTAGAAGCCATGAGTGCCATGACTGTAGCATAAGGGCATTTATTATTATTATTATTGAGAGAGAGCAGCATGCCAACAAAGTAACACTAGGGTACAAATATACAAAGACCAATATACCCATGATGACACCCAGTCTGATAAGGGTATACCAGACACATACATCTGAGCCAAATGGGTGTAATGTGGTGATAGGTTTTGGTAACCATGAGAGAGAGCCATGCTTCGTGCAGCATGAGCATTTATCTTCATTTTTTTTTATACTTTCTTCTTCCCTGTAGTTTTTTTGTTTTCAACCAGAGATTATTGTTGTGCTCCATCAAGTTGGTCGTACATTCTCAGAGAGATAGCACTATTCACAGAATATTTGCAATACTAAGTAATGCAGACTTCTAAAGTGATTATATACTAAGCTTTATTCTGATTTAATGTAGGACTTTAAGTGTCATTCTGTAGACACTAACGTCTCGATGATGACTGGGTCAGTAGTGGCCTGAATGTCCCACATTATGGCAACTTCAATCCAGAAGTCAGTGTATTTCTTAAGCTTGTCATTTTCTTTCCCTTATATAATAATTACTTGTGAAATGCTTGAACAAAAGCTAATACATAAACTTGAATGGATTTCTGGCTCAAGCCAAGTTACAGATTGCCTGACTAAGAGAGGTGTCTCTTTTAACAAGATTCTGGATCATGTATGTGAGCCTTGAAACTTTTTTCCTTAAAGAAAGAAAAAACAAAATGTACATTAAGGTGTGTGATAAATAAGCTTCCATTATGGTCTATGTGAAAAGTGGGAGAGCTGTTAACTATGCTGACTCTTGTGGTCTGACCTAGGATTGAACTCACCATCCTTGGCTAAAAGATTTCTGAAGATATTAGACTCTTACTCAATGGGTGTCTTCTAAGCAGTAGCTTGTCTCCCTTCCTGCCAAAGTAGATTTAATCTTTAGGCATTATTTAGGTTTACTGAAATTTCTCCTTGATGGACATTTTTCTGGTGAAGTGCTGTCACTCAGTTTTTTGAGCAAGATCTTGTTTTAATATTATTGTTCATTAATAATTTATTTTTTGTAATCTCTAGCTTCAACGGAGAGCTGAGCAGATGAAGAAGAGTTTAGAGCAGCACCAGAAAGAACTGGATGAGAAGTGGAGTGCATTTGACAAGGAGAAAGCCGCTTGGGAAGAGCAGTTTGGAGAGAGAAGACGATCATTGGAGAACTCAAAAGAGTAAGCAACACACATATACCCTTTCACTTTTTTTTTTTTTCTTATATCTGTATTTGATTTGATATACCCCCCTCCCTTTTTCTCATCTACTTGTTTGCAGTGCACCCCCACCTTATTCTTAACTCTTTTCTCTTTCTTTACCCTTCTACCCTCTACTTGTTTCCCCTCTCTCTCTTTTTTTTTTCTTTCTGTTTTAGTCTTTTTTTCGACTTGGATTGATGAGTTCTTCCATTTTCTCTGTTTTTCTCTGTTTCTTATCCCCAACTTTTTTTTTTTTTTCTTGAAGTGGTTAAGATTTATGGTGGTCTTTTCTGTGGCTCATTCTAAAAATTTTTTTTTTTTTTTTTTTTTTTTTTTTTTTTTTTGATGATACTGACAAGATTTCTTTGTTCTTCATTAATGACTTGTTCTGCTTTGTCAATAATGTATTGTCTTTTAATAGTTTTTAGCAGTTCTGGTGTTTTTTTTTTTTTCTGTCAAAGTGCAGTAATCTTTAAGGGAAGTGCAAATTCCTTTTGGTCTTTGACAAAATGTCTGAGTTTGAAATTCCTCAAGCTTATAAAAAATGAGTAGGGAGCCTTCATCAGAGACCAATTTCTCTTTTGACAAAACCCAATTGTAACATGTTGAAATTTTTCAGACAAGGAATTATCTGCCTTTCTGTTTGACTTTGTACATTCATCTCGGTTGTCACTCCTTTTGGACCGTACAATGGCTGAAATGCTGGGGCAGTAACAACCAAAAGCAGTGCACCAGTTTAAACAAATTCTTGCATCATAATTTTCTACTTGAACAACTATACACATCTTGTTATACTCCCAACATTTCAGCTGTTTTATTTTTTGGCCTTCTTCAAGTTTCTGTTCTTCCTAACTGCCTCAAAACTTTTATCTGAACACTTTATTTAGTCCACAGAGATAAATTGTTCTCCCTCTATTTTCCATGCTTAAATGTCTTAATTCTTTCTCTATTTTACCATTGTGCCACTTGTCTGTTTCTTCCACTGAACCAGAATGATTTTCCACACTACTTAACTCCAGGTTTGAACTAGTAACTGCTAGGAAGCTAGATATTTTTTTTACTAATGCTTTAATCAATAAAGTAATATGTATCTTGGACAATCCAGTCATCTAATTTGAAGCCTACTGTCTGCGCTAAAGTGTTAAGACTTTTTAGTGTCCTTTCATAATCAGACTGCAAATGTTGTTTATCTCTATGCTAGTTCTACTGAGGAAGTTGTCAGAGTTTAACATGCATGATGATTCTTTTACTTGTCTTATCCTTCAGTTTTTACTCTTTTCCCTCCATACATGATCAGTCAATCTTGATTTCAATGTTTTTCTTCAAAATACAGCCTTTCAATGTTCCTTCACTCTTACTTTTAGGGTCAGCTGGTTTAATCTTTGTATTTCTTGCCACAACTGCATGGGATGGAATACATGCAGTTTTTGGCTATGTTTTTTAGTGATGGGGGCTTGATTCAGGAGAAAGATCTTCAAAGGGTAGTACAACTTTTGAATAACATCTGAATCTTTTCAGATGTACCCTGTAGATGTTTTGCTGTTGTCCTTACCATGCCATCCCTGTTTGTGGATGATGTTGTTCTGCCTGTAAGGTAGTTATTACCTTGACAGTGGTTTCTGATGCTGATCATGTTCATACATGTTAAGGTTGTCACATGAGCCTGATGATGTAAACACCAGACGATCCTCACCTTGGTGCTTTGTATATGGTAGGAATCAAATTTAATCATTATCTGGCAAATGTTGGCTTATACAGATTTTCTGAGTCTCTATTCAGTTCAAAACATTCAGGAAGGCCAACTGAATTTCTGCTTGCTATTTCTGTGTAGAAGGTCTTATTGACTGACATAGTCATACAGTACATCTTCTTTTTGGCAGTCAGAGAATAGTGTTTTTTCCTAACTGTTCCCAGTGCCATCCACACTAAAAAAAAACCAGTTGGGTTCTGACAATAACTCTTCAAAATTACACCAATTGATTTTCCAAGAGATGCATTGTCTTGTAGATTAAAGTATTGGTTTAAGGCATGTCAGGATTCTTTGTTGGTTCAGTCCCTGAGTTGGGTAGCATGGAAAAGCCATATGTTCAGTGGAAGAAATTAGCAAGTGAAACAAGGGATGAAATAGATGAAATATGAGAGATTCTCCAAGTGTGGAAAACAGGAGAAGAATAACTTACTGATGTGGATAAAATATAGGGCCTAGTTAAAAATTCTGAGGAGCTTACAGTACGACAATTTAAAAAATGCTTGGAGAATATAGTTAAACTTTGTGAATATAACAACTAAAATGAGAATGCAAGTTTGAATGAGGGGGGGGGGGAGCAGAAAAATATCATACACTGATTTGTTTGGACTAATATTCTGATCTTCTTTATTATTGTTACAACTTTTCAGCCATTGTACCATCCAGAATAGTGACAATAATAACCAAGATGAGGATGTAAGTCTGAGTAAATCTCTTAATAATTCTTCATCTTGAAAATTCATACAAAATTAGAAAATTAATTTTGACTTTGGTAAATTCCACCTCTCTTTAGCTGACTACAGGCATCTTTTTTTTTTTTTCTCTTTCTTTTTTTTTCTTTTTATTGCAGCCATTGTAATTGTACATTTTATAATGTATCTCCCACCCCAGAAAAAAAAAAAAAATGTCATCAAGACAAGTAGGTATTTCTTACTTGGGAGATTTGTGAAACATAATTTTCTTAATCCCTATATTTTTTTGAATTGCCATACTACACTTGTGTTTAGTAAATATAACAAAAAAGATTTTTGTTATATGATCGGTAATTGCAGTAAAATATTGTGTGGATTTAGTAAATACTAAACGCTTCAAATAACTCGGTTTGTTGATTACTTATAACAAATTTAACATAGGAGATAAGGAAATTGAACATAGGCTGCACTAGAGCTAGTTTTACCCAACACCACCAATTGCCACAAAACTGAAACATTAACCTGAAAGCTTGAATCGTGTTCTTAAATAGCCTTGTCTGATTGAAGTTTTCATATGGATGTCGTGCATGGCACCAAACTTGCTCATAAATATCTGAACTGTCCACTATATACAACTGCTTTCTCAGAGCAATGGTTAAAAAGCTCTTGAAGTGAATGAAACCTGTAGGTTTTAGCAAGGACAGTCCTTCTTTGAACCTCATGGACTGACACTACAGAATCACAAAGAACTCTACCAAATAACAGAAACCACATCACTTGAGAACTTCCAGCAATGTTTAAAATAGATAGCATATATAACTCAATGAGAAAATGATGATTTAAAGATGTTCATGTTCCATGCTACTTCAAACAAAAAATTAGGAAGGTAACTCTCATCAATACTGGAAAGACAGATAACAGCTACTGGACTGGAGAAATCTTTCTTACAAAAATTATTTTAAGTAAAAGATTTAATAAATTATAACCATAGCAATGAATGCCAAATATTTCCTTATAAGGAAATGGCTACTGTTACTGTTAGAAAACATTTTTATATGTGCCAGGTATTTTCTATTCATTCATTTTGAATGGTTTTATATATATATATATATATATATATGTATGTATGTTCGGTATGTTTCAGGGTATGTTTTGGTTGCTTAAATTTCTTGAATCAGAAATAATAAATTAGAATGAACTGAAAATCTATCAAAAAAAATGTTTCCAAAATCATACACAAATCGTTTTTTTTTTTTTTTTAAAATAGATTGCTAAAGTTTTCCATAGCTAAGCATGAAATAAAAAAAAAAAAAAATCTTGTCAGTGTTTCTCTCATATGTAGGTACATCAGTTAGTCCATAGTCTAATTGTGGGGAGAAAAGCTATTTATTTTTTTTTTTCAGCATAATTGCCTTTGTCAATGCACTTAATTCAGTGGTGAATATAGATTGAATATTATAGTGAGAAAATATCAGCTAATAATGTGATCTGAGATTATGGACTTGGTGATGCACCCTCATATAAACATACCTTTCTCTTAAACTGAAGATTTTCTCTATTGGTTTATGTGAAAAGAAAAATATCTCCTGTAATTAGGATCTTTCTTCATTATTTATTTTTTTTAAAGAAATACTTACAAAAATTTGTGTCTTTTATTTTTTTTAATTTCAATGGTGTGATTTAATTTTCTTTCAATTTTAATGATGCTTAAATTACTTATTTCAAAATGAAATAATTTAAACTTTACAAATTCAAGGTATTTTTGAAAAAAAAAAAATATCTAAATGTTTTTAAGTGAAATGGAGCTTAAAAAAAAAAAAGAATGTTGACTTCCTGGGGTGAAAGTGAATTCTGATTCTAAATAAAGAAGCAAGTTCTTTAATTTACACTTTTTGTTTGTGCGGGTTGCACTGCCATCAGTTTTTTTAATTTTTTTTTATATTACTGTATATTAAGTTTATATTATTACATATAGATTAAGATATTAAAATATTTATATTACCACATATATTAAATTTATATATTTATTATGTTTTGTTTATATTACTATAGATTAAGTACTCCAGATTGCAAATATCAATTTTTGTGTGTGTGCATATATATATATATATATATATATATATATACACACACACACACACACACCCCATAAAATTTTATAAAAGTTAATGGTGGGGTATAATTTGCAGTGTAAATTGATTCACCCCCTCCTATAAAAGTTGAAACAAAATAACGTGTGATTTCTTAAAATGTGAAAAGTATATGAAATTTGTAATCTGGGGTTCTTCTCACCCCCTTTTCAACTGCAGTCTCTGTCTCTCATAAATAATTATTAAGCATTCCAAATTATGAATTTCAAAAACAAAAAAAGAAAAGAAAAATTTCGTCACATTTTAAGAAATCACATTCTTTGACCATAATTGTTTTGGTTTCTGTAGGGGGGGATCAATTTACAATAAATTTACTTAATCTTCAGGGTGTTCCAAAAGTCGCATTATCATTGATAACTTTCTTGAATTTTATATTTACCGAATGGAATC